CGCCACTGCGCGTGCCCGCGACGCCGCCCCTCCCCCCGCTCGCGCCCTGGACCCCGTCCCGCCCCTCTGTGTGCGTGCCCTGGGCCCGCCACGCCCCTCCGTGCACACACCCTGGACCCTGTCCTGCCACTCCGTGCGCCCCCGAGTTCCTGTTCCTCACCAGGGCCCGCTTCGTGCCGGTACATATCCCAGGCGCTCCCCCGACACTCCTTCCGCGCGCGCCCTTCTCCCTGACGTGGGTTCGGGTGAGATCAGGTGGGCAGGTAGGGAGGTGGGGGGGAGGGGAGGACGAGGGCAGGTGACTTCGCACACGGCCCCCCTTTGCCTCTGTCACCAGAGCCGGAGCATCCCCCATCCCAGTCCTCGCCTGCCGGCCATCGGCTCAGCCTGCCTCGGGCTCCCCAAAGTTGCCACCGTCGCGCCCCAGCCCGGAGCAGGTCTGAGCGATAAGGTGGGGGCAGCCCCAGGGTCCCTGTCTCAGGACCTTGGGGAGTCCAGCTGGGGTCAGCTACAAAATCACCCAGTTCATTAGCAGGTGGGGGCGGTTTGCATCCTTGCTGCTGCCCTCCCGGCACAGGGGAGCCCAACCGTGAAAGTCAGGAGAGGTTCCCACTCCGTCCCAGGCTTTCTAGTTGCATTGCTGCATCCCCGGCCCAAGTGCGGCCCCTTCTGAAATCTGGGAGACATGGAACCTCCTTCACGTCCCTGAAGGCTGAGCTGGGGTGACTGGCTGGTGGCTGGCCAGAGTTTCTTATCCAGTGTTCTCAAGGGAGGAGGCACAGAAGTGGCTTCTCATGCTGTGGGGCCGAGGGACAGCTTTAAGGACTTCCTCAGCAGGTGAAGCAGCCCTGCAGCCCCCAGCTATGCAGGACCTGCCTGCTGACCCGTCCTCAGAAAAGCCACTTCATGCTCAAAATCTCGGGACATCCAGCCTGGGAAGAAGGGGATGCAGCTGCCGCCAACCCCCTCCTGCCCTACTCCCTAAAACCCAGCAGTCTGGCTTGGAAGGGAGCAGTCCTGTGAGCACGTGGGCATTCGTGGACACAAGTTCACGTTTCATGTGCCCAGCCTGATGGTAGTAACGAAGACGGACTCCCAGATTCTCAAATGAGCCTGGGTGTGACGAGAGTACCAGGCTGAGATGGCACTCGCCGGGGGGGGGGGGTGACGGTCACCTTTCTAGAGGGCTGCGGAGGAGCCGAACCCCGGCACTACCCAGGCGGGTTGCACACGGGACATCCCAGCTTAGGTCTTCACCCCCTTCCCTTGGGAGTGGAGGGGAAGAGCAGAGCTGAGACAGCTCTGGGACAGCGTCCACCCCACAAACACGTGAGAAGTTTGATGGCGCTCCTGTGCAAGAGCGAGGCTCGGTTTTAAGGTTTTATGTTATAACTGAGCCACCTCCTAGTGCAAAGCAGCGACGCGGTCATTACTGTAAGGTCACTGTGGGATTGCCAATATAGGCTTCAGCTCAGACTCTTTCTCTCTTTTTAAAGCTATTATATATATTAAAAGAAATAGTTCTTTCCAGTGTTGCTTTATCCTCCACAGTATTTAGTCATTCTAGAAGTTTGTGCTGTCACTTAGAAAGAGATGAAGTCAAGATATAGTGAATCTGTGAGACCTTAATAGGCCTTTAAAAGGGGAGCCTAAGGTACGGTGGGAAAAACCCAGCGGCTTTGCTTGCCGAGAGCAGGGCTTGATGAAACTGGGGCTCAAAGGGCTCTTTCAGAAGAGCGGAGGAGGCAGCCTTTGATCTCTGCGGGGATCCTCTGCTCAATTCAGAAGGAAGCGATTGAAGCCACTGGGTCAAGCAGATATTTTGAGCCTGGTGCAGAGCATAGAACGATTTGCTTTGACATAAGCATTTCCCCGGGCTTGTAAGTATATTTGGGGTTGAATCAGTGTTTCCAGGAACTAATTTCCCATCTTCCAGGGCTGTGGTTTTCTGGCTGAAAAGACCTGGGACAAGTGGGCAATCATCCTGCATGTATCTCCTTCTGGAAGGTCCTGGATCTTACTGGGACTATGACCTACACCCTGTCCCTTAGAATCCCAGGGTTTTTCCAAGGTGCCATAGGGGCTCTCCAGATATTTCACTTAATGTTGAATTTTACAATGTTTCTAGCTATTGAAAGACTTGTCATTAAACACACAGCCAAATGTATTCTGTAGAAACTCCCCTGGATAAAAGACATTGAACTTAGGCATGCTTAACCTTACGCATATTGTCTCAAGGGGTGTATAATAAAGATGTAGAGAGGAAAACATGTTGCATCAGAAATGCAGAACGGTCTGGGCTGTCAGTGAAGCCTGGAAGCCAGACCCAGAGGGGCCGGCCACTGCAGCAGGCTTCTGCACTCAGCCTGATGTGTCTCCCGTGGGGCCGGTTCCTTCCGGGCAGGCCTGGACGCATTTCTGTGCAATGCGTCCAAGGTGTATAGGTGCTGGGGGTGAGCTCGCTGTATGCAAGTCAGGGCATGCACGATCCAGTGTTCCTGGGGCATCTGTAGTGGCAGTGCGGTGGGAGCTGACACATGCTCTTCTGCCGACAAGCAGTGTTTTAACGGGCTCTGCCAAACAATCGGCATAAAGGTTCTCCTGTCATCCAGATGTGTAGACTCCATTCCCGAGAATGTTTAGTGTGTTAAATGTTGAAGTAGCGCCTGCCCCGTGCATGGGTGCTTCACGAGTACATGTTCACCTCCTGGTAGCAAGGTCCTCACTCCTGGCAGACAGCAAGGACACAGGTTAAGCCACTGGCCAGGCGTGTAGGGAGCAGAGATGGGCCCCCAGAGTCCGGGCCCGTGGCTCCTGTGCTGTGGTTTATTCACCCCCATGATGTGCTCAATTATCCTGAATACTAGGTTCACACGTGGGTGCCACATTCAGGCCCTGAGGCGCACCTGGAGGGACTGAGGCTGCCGGAGGTGGTGGACACCCAACACTGGTGTCCACCCGGCACGGGATGCTGCTCACAGGAATGGCTGAATTCTGGATGAGTAAGAGTTCATGTGACAGGAACTCCTGGCCTGAGCTGTGGCATCTGGGTGCTGTGTTCGTGGAGGGGGCAGGGGGTGCCGTGTTCGGTCAGGCCTGTTGCTGTCCCTGTGTATGACAAGGAAGCAACCTGAGTGTAAGGACCATGCTCAGGGTCACCATGGGATGGAGTGGTGGAGCAGCCTGGCAGGGAAGTTCTTGCTGCCCATGACACGGCCCTCTCCCAATGGCCATTGTGTTGATAGGCACGACCTCATGTTCCCTAAGGAATAGTGAGGGCAGCAGGAACCCTGGAGAGCTGCAGCAGGCAGTGTAGGGGCCAGACATGCTGCCACCCATCTTGTTCTAGAAATTGAACCTGAAGTGCTTAACCCCTCCTTCAGTGGCTCTAAGTGGTTAAAGCTGGATTGAGGACATGGCAGCAACGTTCTAACCTTGCAGCAAGGGGCGTGTCGGGTAAATGACTGGTCCGAAGCCTCTTCTGCCAGGCCAGCCCCTTGGTTGATGGAAATCCCCCTCCCACAGGGCCAGGAAGGGCCGTGGGTCCAGCAGCTGCGGGGCGGCTGGGGCAGACCTCGTGGAGTCTCTGGCATGTGTGTTGAAGCCACTGCTCAGTAAAGCTGGGTTTGCCAATGAGGCAGAAGAGAAGCGATAGCCTTGTAGGTGCTGTTAAAGAAGTCCTACAGAGTAAGACTTGTCCAGCCTCTGTTCATGCTAGCTTTTCCTGGACTGGACTCCAGTTGGCTTACTATGGATGAAAATTTCATAGAGTATGTGGGCACTGTGTTTAAACCATGTAGAACTGAGAAGTGATCTGAAATAATGTAATGGCAGCTGGTCGGAATTTGGTTGATCACTGCTGCTTCACTGGACAGAACCTTCCGGAAGCTTGTGATAGGTGGAAGTACTGAGGCTGAGCGTTGGTCCACTCACCTGAGCTGTGTGACCTCGGCCAAGCCGCTCATGGTGATCATCTCATCGCTGACCCTCATCAGTGGGGTTGTCCCAGGGCTGAGCCAGATTCCCTATGCTTCACCATGGCCATTCAGTACTCTTGAAGTAGGAAAAAGACATTTCCTTTGGAGAGCACTCATGAGACATTTTCCAGTTAGAAAGATGTTTGTATACAAAATTGCTAACAGTTGGTCACATGAAGACAAGCTAGGTGGTGTTGGCATCTGCAGGTGGACCTTGACAACTGGTGTTGTCCGCGGCTGCTGCATCTGAACTCGCTTACATCCTCTTGTTGGGCTGAGCCCTGGATGGGCCCGATGGAATAGCCAGGTGTGTGCTTAGTGACACAAGCTGGGGGCTTCAGGGAATGCCCTCCTGGCTGCCTCTGGAGGTTGACATCTGCCTGTGCTGCTTGGAGAAAGAAGATTCAGCCCAAGGGGAGGAGCCAAGATAGGAGGAAGCTGAGCAAAGATGGCTGAGGACCAGGCCCCCCATGACACCAGCCAGAGTGCATGTAGAGATGACGTGGAGTGTGGGCTGCTTGTGCAGAGACAACAGTCCCACCGATGGGCCACTTGGTATGAGTCCAGGTTACTTCTGCTGAGGGCAGCTGGCCACCGAGCGTCTGCTCCAGCTGCAGCCACCACCCCTGGGGCTGCTCCCTGATCCTGGCTGTTGCTGCTGGGTCCCCTCCAGTGGGGCATCCCCCGCCCTGACTGTGGTCCTGAGACCTGCTGGCCTCTGCTCTACCTGGCTCGAATGCCCTTTTTCTCTATCTTGCCTTTAGACTTAGCTCTTGGCTGTTCTTGTGGACTCCTAACCCGGCCAGGGGGCTATGTAATCAGCACTGCCCCCAGCTACTGTCAGCCTCTGCACAGTCAACACCATCCCCGTCTGCCTGTCCAC